TTTGGGGGGGGGGGGGGGGCACTGGGACCCTTTCCGTACTCCCCGGTCTTGATTTCCCCCTCCGCTCGGTCTCGGACAGCGGCAGCCCCAGCCGCCCCCCCTGCCCCGCTTCACCGGGGGCTGCGGCCGTCGGGGCTGTCCCGGCCGCGGGTGCTGCCGGCGGTACCGACCCTTGGTCCCGCCGCCGACTTGGAGCATCCCAGGCTCCCGGCCCCGGGAGCGGGGGGACCGGTGCATCCCAAGGAAACGAAACGCTTGTTTCGTATCACGGCTGGGGGACCGGCGACTCCTTTCCCCCGTGGGTTCACGCCGTGCTCCCGAGCTGTGCTGTAAAGGAGGAGGAAGGGCTCGAATCTGTCCGGGCTGCAGCCAGAGGGGAGCGGACTTGGCTGGTCCGTGTTTGGCGTACGCGGGCTGGGCGAGCCCGGTTGAAGCGCGGGGGCTTTTCGCGGCTGGTTGTGGTGGAGGAGCAGGCACGGGCAGGATGCTGGTGCTGGGAGGAGGGTGCCCGTGCAATCGCGCCTTTCTGTGTCGTCTTTGAATCCCCGGAGGGACAGCACGGCAGAGATGTGAGGAGCATCTCGCTCCGCACAGTGCAGTGAATCCGAGGAGTTTCACTGCCCAAACGGAAAGCAGGGGAGATGGGAGCAGCTTCGGCTGAGCGGGGTCCCGTGTCCTCTCCTCGGCTGAGAGCGGCTGGGGCTTAGCCGAGGGTTAACTTTCCAAAGGACATGGATTAGATGCTGCTTAGCTGTACTGTTGTAAATCTTGAATTAATTAATCCGGGTTAGAGTCCAGCTCCTGAAAATACACCGAGATTAAGGTTATTGTGGCAGAGGGAGGAGGGTGTGAGCCCTCAGCCCCTTTTTTTGTATCAGTGACACCCAGCAGTGTTCGGCCCACAGTATGTGACAGCTTTACTTGTTCGCCGCATCTTTGGAGAGTCTCATATATGTGTCTGTCACCTCAGCAACTGAATTAACGACCTGATTGGGAAAAAAAAAGTCAGAACTCATAAAGCTTACTTTGATTTTTTCATCCTGGGGAATTATTGGTTTTCCATGCTTTTTTAAATAAAAATGATTGAGGAGGTTTCTTCAGGCTTTTGTAAATCTTTCAATCCTAGAAGAAGGGAATGAATCTGTGTGACTTCAGGCCCCAAAAAGAAATAATTATCTATACACTTATTTATTTATTTAAGCTGGGGAAGCAATAAATAAGTCACTGAAAGAAGAGTTAGAAGACAAGAGCTTTCTTAACCATAGCTGTGCTTTGGTGTCAGAACTGTATTTTTAAAAATTGAAGAAAAAAGACCTCCCTCTGTCTGACGGGGGCTACTATAATCTCCTTGAAATGAAATGAACCTTGCTTCTCGTTTAGCACCAGCTGCTGCTGAATTGCTGCCATTTTGCAGCCCATTTTGACTTTCTGCTCCCATTCAAGGCTCCCCCCCACTTCTGGGTTTAGGTTGCTGATGCTGTTACAGGCTGGTCTTGGCTCCCGCAGCAGGTGAAGGGAACTTCTGCCACACAGAATCCGTCCCCACGTTTTGAAGCTTCCACTGCCAAGTTGCCATAACTCCAGCAATCTGACTGCTTAAATTGCCTCTCCTTCATTTATTCTGAATTTTCCATCCAAACAGTTGCATCCCCTTGAGACCCATAGAGTGCAGATTGTTTTTTATTTTTTAATGCACTGCATTTTTTGGCTTTGGAAACTGCTTTGGAGCAGTATGACTTATAAGCTGCTTATGAGCGTGGGGATGTGGTGTCACTTCAGTTAACACTTGTGAATGGCTGCAGAGCTGACTGGGGTGCCAGAGACAGGACTGCTGGGGTCCAGAGAGGAGCCTCGTGCTGTGTCCTGTTGCCCTGGCCACTGGGACTGGCTGCCACTGCTGAGTACTTGAACAGTTAAGGGTTGTCCTCCCAAATTCCTCCAGAAACAAGAGGAGGTGGTGGATTGCTAACAGCAGCTCAAACATTGTAAGACAGCTACAGAGGAGATATGGAGCAAATCCACATCAACTTTGCTGGCAGCATTTTCCAGCCTGTTCCCTTCCTCCATCTCTCCCAGTTGGGCTGTAGTTCTGTGGACATGGGCACACCATGTATCGTGCCTCATGTAGGTTTAACCTTTAGACCTTTCCAGTTAGGCTCCAGCTGGTTACGCTGCCTCCTGCCCGTGCCTGTCCCCAGCAGGGCTCCTGGCACACGTGGAAGGCCACAGTGTCCGAGCTCCCTGGCTGCCTGTGGCACACTGGTGCCCTGCAAAGAGCCAACAGCGGAGCTCCTGCTCACAGAGCTGCTGCCCTTGGCTCCAGGGATGCCCATCAATCACTGTTATTTTGGTCTACACCCTGCCCTCTGCTTTACTCTGAATCCTGAGCCAGGTCCAGGCTTTGCTTCCCAAAGGAAGGTTTGTGATGTTTTTCTTGCAGCCAGAGGATCCTCTGTTGGGGTGGGCAGGGTCTCCAAGGGGCAGGCCTTTGGTGTGAGGGGTACGACGCAATCTTTGAGTCCTTCCTTTGCCCAAAACGCTGCTGGCTTGGCATCTCAAGGACCTGATGAAGGCAGGCATTCAGGGAAGGTCTTGCAGCAGTAGCTGAGCTTTCCCGATCTGCTCATTCCCAAAGAGGTGGGTACAGCAGTCTGTTGTAATTAACTTGGCTGCACCTTCCCCTGCAATCCATCTCTATGGATCTCGGTGCTGCCCAGTGGCAGGCAGGCACAAAGCCCCTCTTCTTGCCAGCCCTTGCTTTCCTTAATCCCTGTCACCGCCTTTCCCTCCTCCTCCCCCTCCTCTTCCTCCTCCCTGCTGCCTGCAGCCTCTGGTGGTACATGCTGGGGCAGCAGGAGCAGGTTGAGGCTGGATTTTAGGGTGTGGGACTCCCTCCGAGCCTGGAGGTACAGCAACCTCGCAGGGCTATTAGGGTATGGAAGAAAAAAACTGGCCGTGTTTAGGACCATGGAGTTGATCCTGGGACAACTTCGCTGGTCCCTCCGGTGCTGTTTTTACCGCTGTTGCTTGGGGTTTGTTTTTTTTCTCTTTTCCAAGGGGCAGATCAAGCCCTATTAGTGCCGTAAGTAACACTCACCCTTTCGCTGCCCTTTAAGCAGTCCTGTGATTTGGCAGGGAAGAGGAGCTGTAGCAGGGTGCCTGCCCTTGCCAAGGAGCTTTACCCGGCTCGGTGCCTGGTTAGTAGCCACGGGCTCAGCCTGCAGGCAAGCTGAGCTTGATGGATGGGGGTGTAAGGACACGGGGCTGGCTGGGGTCATGGATCAGCTGGGACTCATTGATGCCTCCTTCCTTCCCTGCCTTTGGCGGAGGGTTTCAAAACACTTTACAGGCTTTAATTAGTTGCAGCCTGTCTCCTTGTCCCAGCAGTTTTCCAGCTGGGTAAACCAGGACCCGGAGAGGCTAATTGAACTTTGGATCCTTCTGTCTCTGGTGGACTCTTGAGGAATTGGAATCGTTTTATCCTCTCGGAAAATCAGGCTGCCGGTGACCCACCTGAAGTCACCCAGGGAGGCAGTGGTGGGGCTTGGCATGTGCTCCAGTAATCTGGGCTCATAGCCCCATGCTACTGCCTGGCATCTCCCCTGCTTCTCCTCTGATCCATCCCACTGCTCTGCTTTGAGGGGGGGGACATCTAAATTAATAACTTAATTACATTAAGGAATAATGAGGGGAACTGATATGCGGGATTAATTACAAGCAAAATCCCAAATTAATTGTGAGGAGTACTTGTAGCTGGCTCTACAGCAATGCTTTGCTGGTGTGCTGGCTCATGTTTCCTGTGCCAGGCTGTGGCTGTGTGGCCCTGGGGGATGCTAATGAGGGAACAGGAGATGAGTAGGTGAGTGACAAGCCCTTGGTGGTCTCACTTCCTGCACCTGTATCAGACTACAGTGGCTGTATGGCAGAGCCCTGCAGCAGGGAGGGGTTTTCAGGGCTCTGGGCTCCTGTGCTCTGGGCCAGCAGTATGTGCAGGAGGGGCAGGAAGATAGTCTTTGGTTTGGGATTTTATTTCCCTTCATTCCTTCCTGCATGCTAGCTTGCTCCTTTTGATGAATGGCTGAAGCACAGCTGACAGACGCTGGAGGGAAAGCAGGTCTGTGACGGGCCTGAGTGCAGGAGAAAAGCTACAGAGCAAAAGTTTCCTTTATTAAAAATAGTGACCTGTTCTACTTGACCTGTGCTGGTGTTTGCAATGCAACATCTCCTTTCTGAATGTGCTCAAATGCAGCTGGGGAATGGCTCCTGGGAGATGTGGAGAAGCTTGGCAGCCTCACTGCCTGCTCCAGGCATTCTGGGGAGCGCATCACCCTGCAGGGTTGGACCTCAGTGCAAAGGGGCCCTTGCCAGCTTTGTGTAAATGTGCCTTGCACCAGCCTGTGTTTCCTTCTGCATCATTGCCATCTAGAAAGCCTCTGCACCTGGAGCTCAGCTGACAGTCTCCAGATATTAAATTCCTGTCAGTTTTATAGCAGCAGAGCCACTTAACAGATTAAAATAACTGTGTATCCTGCAAAAATTCAGATCTTGACAATTAAGGGATTGAAGTGGCAAAGCTGTTGGGAACCAAAAAAAAAAAAAAAAAAAAAAAAAAAAAAAAAAAAAAAAAAAAAAAAAAAAAAAAAGAGGCAGAGTGTTTAATACCCAGGAAGCTTGTATTGACTGGGACTTGGGACTTGGCTGGGGACATGGATAGGTCCAGGATGTGAGAGAAGGGGAAACTTATTTCATGCTTTGTTGGTGAAATCCCACTCTGAAATCTCTAGGAGCAAAACCAGGCTTTCTAGGATGTGCAGAGCTTTGTGAAGGAGGTGTGATGGAATCCAGTTCTTCTCTC